TCTAAATTTTTTTCTAAAAAAGCTTGCTTAAAAGCTTAATCTATAATTATAACATTTTTAAAACCCAACCATTGGATTAAATATCCTATAGGTAGTTAATTTTTAAATTAATTTAATATTTATAACACTTTAATCAAACAAACTCTGTTTATTGACATATATTTAATAGTGTTATATTTTGTGTAATAATCAAACTAGTTAAGCCACTTAGATTGATTTAATAATTGATATACGTGATCTACATAAAAAAATTTTAATTTAATCATTGGGTTTTAAAAATATTAATTGAAATATGATGTTTTTGGAGATTTCATCCATAGAGGATATTCTACAAAACACTATATATATAAAAGAAAAAATGCTTTATAGGTCATTCTGTTAATTTTTTTTTTAATGATCTATTTAAAAACTCATATTCTATTTAATATTTCAAAAACTAATTGTTAAATTAAAGTTCTTTTTATATAAATTAAGTCAATTACAAACTTCCAACTCCCTTCTTTCACATATGATTTTCCAACATCTTTAAGCTCCTTAAAGTGATGGCCTTTAGTTACTCCCTTAGATTCTCTTCAATATTGCTTGGTAAACATCCCTAAAGTCTTTTGGAAACAAAATTAGCAAGCTGTCCAAGTTGAGTTTCTATATTCTTAATAGATGCATCTTGATTTTGGAGCCTCACTTCCATACCATTAATGAACTTTTTCATCAACTCTTCCAAATTTGATATCTACTCTTGTTGATTTTGTTGATGGAAACCCAGTGGTATTTTGGCTTGGTTATTTCTCCATGAAAAGTTAGGATGGCTGATCCATCCTAGGTTATAGGTATTGTGGTAAGGATTAAAATTAGACTTGGCACGAGAAGAAACAAAATTAACATGCTCATTAAAAGAAGGAAATTGATTATTTACTTGACATTCAACACTAGCATGACTTAATTGCTCACACAATTTACATGAAATATTAGAGGAAACATATATTGTTGAAGCTCCAAAACAATCCAACATTTTAGTTAAACCAGAAATTTATGCAAATAAGTAAAAGTATCAACACTATGTAAACCAACTTTCTTTCTTGATAGTTTTATCATTGTTCCATTGGTAGCTATTGAAAGTCGTTTCATCTAAAAGATCAAAAACTTCTTTTGGTATCTTATTTATGATGGTTCCTTTTGGAGCTGGATCAATTATTAAACAATTAAGAGGAGTTATACCATTATAAAAAAATTACACTTAGAGCCAAATAGGTAAATCTTAAACCTTAAACCTTCCCCAAGACTCATATAACATGTCATTATTAAATTGAACAAAAGTAGTAATGTTATTTCTCATTTTAACTGTTTTAGGGGGAGGAAAAAATTTAACCAAGAATTTTTCTATCAATGGATCTCATATAGTAATAAATCCTACAAGAAGAGAGTAAAGCCAAATCTTGACGTTTTTATGCAAAGAAAATAGAAATAATCTAAGGCTAATAACATTATAATTATTATCGTTGTGCTTAAAAGCGTCACAAATTTCAATTAGCAATATGAGAATTAGGACAATCAATAGGCAAACCACTAAATTGGACACTTGTTTGCTCTCTTAAGAATTCTCAAAAAATCCTCTCCATTTCTGGATGAAAAAGGTTAAGATCACCGTATTATTGCAAGTCATGCACTAGAAAATCTATAACAAAAGAATTTAAATTAAGGTAAGAAAAGAATAAATATTAAGAAACTAACAAAACTATAAAGTAGGTGCATTAGCTACCAATTGTCCAAAATAAAAGAAACAAATAAACAAAATTAATAATAAAAAAAATCAATTGAAGGACAAATTGTTAGTCTTAACATGTAGATGACTAATCCCTAGCAATGGCATCAAAACTTATTGCATAAAATATGCACTACATTTAAGCAAGTGAATCTAAGTGCTTATGTAGTATAATATGAGTAAGATATCGTTCTCTTGAAAACTACTCTATATTACCAAGATGATATTAATCTAACCTATGTTAAATTAATTGATCAATTGAATAAAATTAAACTACACAATTAAGGCAGTTTCTAATTCAAAGAAAACTATTAATGAAAAGGAATTAGGGTTTAGATTTCATTTAACTTGAATTATGCAAGTGATTAATTAATCTAATCCAAAACCAAATAAACCTTAAGATTTGTTATGTGTCATCTTACAAGATGGTGGATTTCCCTCAATTAACTAATTAGCTTTTTCAAGTCAAGTTGATTCTTCCTTTACTGGTTAAATTGGTCATATCTCTATTTAATTTAAAACAAACTAGGGAGCATTAAGTGATGTGGAAACCTATAGCTTAAGTAGACGGAGTTCCTAACTCTTTTCTCTTCCTCCACTATTATATATGATGCTAATTACCTCTCGATTTCATAATCTAATATACAGTTTATATTCTTATTGATCTAATTTTAATGCAATTCTTTCTCAAATTCATATATAAATCATTAGATCAATCGAAAGGTTATCAAACTTTCAAAACATTAAATTCAACAACATAAACTATCATATGAATAACAAATAGGTCTTGAATATACTAACACTTAACAATTATAACTATTAATTATTCTTGATCATAAAATCAAATACATTAATATTACTTCTGTGTGGCTATAATAATTTTTTTTTAAGGTCATAACCATAAAAGAGCCTTCCTTTCCAAACTAAGAGCTAGTATCTTCTTTTTTTCCTGAAACATCTATTTCTATTCTCTATAGCCATCTTCCTCCTTCTTCCTTTGGTGGAATATTGCTCACTTAAGCATCAAAATATGAATATTGAAGACCAATTTATGTACCTAACCTAGCTGTTTAAAAGCATCTGCAGCAAAAGTTGTATTGTTCATTATCTATACTATTTCTCCTGTTTCTATGTTGTGTAAGAACATGTACAATGGAGAGCGATGATAAAGTTTATTTTGGTGGTGCATTATTACCATTAATATTATTTTATATAAACCTACATTTTCATATATTTAACCTTTGAATAAAACACCTCCCCTCTAATGAATATTTCTAAACAAAACTTTCTCAAAAATCACAAGTATTAAAAAAAAAAAAAATTTCAGCCCTTGGATCCAAAAGAGACAAGCTTAGTTTCAAAGCTTTCCAATAAATTTAATGTTTTGTCTCTATTATATTTTGGGAAAGGACAATGAGAAAATACTCTCATTGTACATTCTCTAATATTTTTGTACAAATCTCATTTATTGAGAAGTGCAATATAGATTGTTATTCTCTCCTATACCCCCTTCCCTCTCGTTTGTGCATACCTATATCTTTTGAATTTGTTTATATACTTGGGCAAATAAGTAGCTGTCGAAATATGTTTTGGTATGTGATTGGAAGGTTTGGCAAATGTTACCGCCATTAGGTATTTGTTGCCATGGTTTTTTATTTCACAGCCAAAGTTGTTAATCTTCTACCAAATATCATATTCTGGGTGTTCTTTTCAGCACTATGATACAACAAGGTCTGTTAGCTGCAAATTTTACTGTGAAATCTTGTCAAGAATAACATGAATGGACCAGACATATAAGAATTACAAAATACAAAGGAAAGGAGAATTTTATTCATAAAGATAATCTCTTTTTTAGCAAGGATCCTAGAATGCCATAAAAGTCTAAAAGCATCATAGCCACAAGGCAAAACCCCAAGATGAGGCTTGTTTGGAAACTTTCCTTATTAGTTGATAAGGGAGGTGTTAGCATTGGCAGTGAAAGACTACTGGTATTGGAGGGCTGGAGGATGAGGATTTAGATTCAGATGGTAATGGGGGGATCACCGCATCTACTGGTATTGGAGACTCAGATGGTGAGAGAGAAGAAGCTCTTGGAGCCGGAGTAGAGGCTTTTGGAGTGGGAGCAGAAACAGGGGTAGCCAAAGGAGAAGCAACTGCAGGCTGTGGAGTGGTAGAACTTGCCAGAGTATCAATCTCCACTTTCATTCCTTAGAGACAATGCCCTATTATTCCACAGATGAAGTATCTCTTTGCAGCTGAAGTAAGAGGAATGATCGTTGTCACGCCCCAGAACCGAAATCCGGGGACGTGGCAGACGCCATGCACTCGTGAGACGGGTCGCACAAATGCACAAGGCTCGGAACTTATCACACCACAATCTGATACCGTCAAAATCTGAAGATCAACTTTTAAAATCTGCTCTAATATCATAAAATCTCCAAATACAAGATCATGATTTGTTTCTAAAATTCATATCCAATTACAATATGGCTAGCCTTCTAACTCGTCACTTCCCGTGGTTTTCCCGTCCTCGGTTTCACATCCTGAAATGGTGGACAAGGAAAACTATGAGATAAACTCAGTAAGTAAAATATGGATTGCCCTTAATTAAACTTATAGCATGCCAACAAGTGCAATCACGAAAAACGGATACAGTACGGGCACAAAATAGACGTCTCCTCTATAGGTCATGGCCAGTTCCCACTGGCAGGCAAACAGGAATACTAGTGTATAATCCCCACTAGTAGGGCCACGATTTGCTGGTGTATAACCCCCACTAGCTGGGTTGAACGAATTGGCTCTATCACTACATGTCGACATGTGCTAGCGTTTATACCTCCCCCACTAGCGGGGTCACGAATAACATGACCACATCGGAGACAAAACAGGCAGAAGTTAACAGGAAAATCACGATTCACAATCACTTTCAGATCATCAGGACAGTCACTCAAATTTCAAGTAGGCATGCTCAATTTCATGAAAAGCATAAAAATATCATTTCAAATCAGTTATACTCGTGTAAAACGGGTTTAGTCTCGCCACCACTTCAAAAACAAATCAAAACATGCTTATAAAACAGTACGGGCATTACCATAAATTTACTTACCTCACTCGCATAAAACCGAGCACTCAAGTCACGTACTAAAATGACAGAACGATCGGGAACCTAATCAAAATATTCCAGAATTAATACCGGACTATCACAAATTCAAGCTGAAATCATCATTAGGATCACTCCTAATCACAATGCTATTTCTATCAATCTCCACATGATCAAATATCTCCAAAATCATTCTCATATCACAAACTAATCACTTAAATCCCCGTTAATTGTTGGCCCTCGGGGTGTGAACAGTAACCGGTGAACAGTGACCCCGACGTGAACAGTAACTCCACTCCCACAAAT